CCTATAGTCCCAGCTACTTGGGAGGCTGAGGCAGGAGATTCGCTTGAGCCCAGGAGTTGGAGGTTGCTGTAAGCTATGATGCCACAGCACTCTATCCAGGGGGACAGCTTGAGGCTCTGTCTCAAAAAAAAAAAAAAAGGGAGCCAAGCGGGGTGACTCATACCTATAATCCCCGCTCTTGGGAAGCTGAGGTGGGTGTACTGCCTGAGCTCACAGGTTCAAGACTAGCCTGGGTCAGAACAAGACTTCATCTCGAAAAATAGCTGGGCACTGTGGTGGATGCCTGTAATCCCAGCTACTTGAGAGGCTGAGGCAAGAGAATTGCTGAGCCCAAGAGTTGGAGGTTGCTGTGAGCTATAAGGCCACGGAACTCTACCAAAGATGACAAAGGGAAACTCTGTCTCAAAATAAGTAAATAAATAATAAAGAAAGAAAGGAGGGAGGGCAAGCAGGTAGGCAGGCAGGCAGGCATTCAGGCTATATGCCTGTAAATCCTAGTACCCTGGGAAGCCAAGGCAGGTGGATTGCCTGACCTCAGGGGTTCAAGACCAGCCTGACTAAGCAAGACTGAGTCCTTGTCTCTACCAAAAATAGAAAAACTGGGCAGCACCTGTGGCTCAGTGAGAAGGGCACTGGCTCCACATACTGAGGGTGGCAGGTTCAAACCAGCCCCAGCCAAACTGCAACAAAAAATAGCTGGGCGTCGTGGCAGGTACCTGTGGTCCCAGCTGAGGCAAGAGAATCACCTAAACCCAAAAGCTGGAGGCTGCTGTCAGCTGTGACACCATGGCACTCTATAAAGGGCAACAAAGTGAGACTCTTGTCTCTAAAAAAAAAATGTTAAAAATAAATAAATAAAAATAGAAAAACTAGCCAGGCTCTATGACAGGCACTTGTATTCCAGCTACTTGGGAGCCTGAGGCAAGAGGCTTGCGTAAGCCCAAGAGTCTGAGGTTACTGTGAGCTATGACACCACAGCACTCTACCCAGGATGACAGAGTGAAAACTCTGTCTCAAAAAAAAAAAAAAAAAAGAACCAACATGGAATCACACTATATTCCCTTTCTAATCTCTCTTTTGGGTAAAGACTCAAATCGACGGAAGAACAGCACTATGTCAGCTGTACTTTGGAGAAATAAGGTCTGACATATCCTCACTCTTCCTATCATATAGTCCTGCTGAAAGCATAAAGAATCACTAATACCTACCTGATTATATCACTCAAACTCAAGTGAGGGCAGTTTTGAGATTCTTACTTACCTAATTGTTTGGTCAAAAGAAGCACTAAGGATCTGACTGCTATCCTTAGAAAAGCTTAGACAGGTCACACCTTTACTATGTGCCCTCTCAAATCTCCTTAAACACTGTCCACTCTGAATCTTCCATACCTTTATTAAAAAAAAATAAATAAAAACTTGTAAACAGAGTGTCCCACCATTGTCTACAGAGTCAAACAAGATGCAATGCTCATTAATGTACTAAAGTAGCATTAAAAATACATGCTAGTAGCTGAATATGATATGTCTAGTTCACCTAGTACAACAATAACTGAATCCTTTGAAACTTAAAACTCTTTCCTTATAAGTCATTAAAACAAAAATTTAGACTCTAAGTTCACTTAGCAGAGATCATTTCTGTATTTTATGTAGCCCAGGATGTATTACCAACCATTAAATACAAACCATAGCCAGTTGGCTACAGGACATCCCCTAGAAAAAAATCAAATCATAGTACATCACATACAGTAAGCCAGAGTGGTACAACAGAAAGGGCATGAGCAGAATTGGCCTAAAGTCTCAGATCTATCACTTACCAACTGTGTGACCTCAAACATAGTATTGACCACTCACTCCAGGCGGAGTTATTAGGATTAAATAAGAAAAAGTACAATGATTAGCAGAAAGTTGATGTTCAATAAACAAAAGCTACTATTAACTCGGAGTATCATTTGCACAATATGACTCCATTACAGAACGTTTAAAATGTCTCCGTAAGAGCTCAGGTCTTATGGAGACATTTAATACACACCTTGATTTTTCCATCTTGAGCCCCAGTTGCTAACATTTCTGTATCTCTACTAAAACACATGCAGAGGACAGCATCATCCATCATCATGAAGTTATCCTGGGCCTGGTACTTAAGATCCTGAAGGAAACAATGGTTAGCAGTTATCAAAATAATCACCAAAACTAAGGTCCCAGTACAGGTTGTCTATAAACTCACTAAAACCACAATGGATTGTGCCTAACCTAAAACTCCAAAGCAAATAGCAGTGCTATGTATACATATTCCTAGTGAACAACTGAACTCACTGAGATGAATAATTTTACACAATTCAAACTGATGTTATAAAAAATGCCAATACCCTAGATCTTTTGCTTACTGATCTTTTTCTAGACAAAATTATTTTAGAGTATAAAGTGAGAAACTAAACTAATATTTTTTCTAATTATTAGCTACTTTTCCTGAAACTATACATATATAGTGAGATATATATCATAGCTCACAACAAACTCAAACTCCTGGGCTGAAGTGATCCTCTGCTTCAGCCTCCCGAGCAGGTGGGACTACAGGCGCCTGCCACTTTGCCTGGCTAATCTTATCTATTTTTGGTAGATATGGGGGTCTCACTCTTGCTCAGGCTGCTCTGGATTCATGACTTCAAGTGATCTTTCCACTCTGACTTCCCAGAGTACTAGGATTAAAGGTGTGAATCACCACAACTGGCCTGAAACCATATATTGAATAATGATGCCTCTTTTACACCTATTATCCATTGTTGTTCAAATGCAAGTATCTTTATTTTTCTTTCCAATTATAAAGTCAGACTCCTTCACAGTTAAAAAGAAAAAAAGCAAACTATATAAAAATATATTAAAATAGAAACTGGGCCTGGCATGGTGCCTCAGGCAACATGGTTCACGCCTATAATCCTAGCACTCTGAGAGGCTAAGGTAGGTGCAGTCTGAGGAGTTTGACACCAGCGTAAGCAAAAGTGAGACCCCATTTCAACTAAAAAATAGAAAAACTGAGGCAGAGGATGGCATGAGCCCAAGAGTTGGAGGTTGCTGTGAACTATGATGCCACAGCATTCTACCCAGGGTGACAGCTTGAGACTGTGTCTCAAAAATAAATAAATAATTAAATAAACACAATTAGTACTACAACTGTGTTAGTCTGGAAACAACCTTATATAAAACAGCTGGTTAAATATATCATGGTTCAAAATCCATGTAACTGAATATAATAAGGCAATGATCTCTAAGATATACTACAAAGGGCAAAGCAAGGAGAACAGGGTACATAGTATACTATCATCTGTGTAAAAAAATTTTTGAAGGCTTGGCGCCTGTAGCACAGTAGTTACGGCCAGCCACATGCACTGAGGCTGGTTGGTTCGAACTCAGCCTGGGCCTGTTAAATGACAACAACTGCAACAAAAAATAGGCAGATGTTGTGGCAGGTGCCTGTGCTCCCAGCTGCTTGGGTGGCTGAGGCAAGAGAATTGCTTGAGCCTAGGATTCTGAGGTTGCTGTGAACTGTGATGCCACAGCACTAAACCAAGGGCAACATAGTGAGACTCTGTCTCAAAAAAAAAAAAAAAAAAGGAAACTGGTAACCCTGGCTGGCCTAAGTAAGGGAATTGACTGGATGAAGGGCAAAGGAAAGAGCAAAATTCTTTACCTGAAAAAGCCTAGGTGTACCTATTACCCAGTCAAGAAAATTTAAATCACATTAAAATTATAAATAACAAATGTTTTCACTTGGTTAATAAAATCAAAATTTAATTAAAAACAATTTTAAGGGGCTCAGCGCCAGTGGCTCAAGGGGCTAAGGCACCAGCCACATACACCTGAGGTGGCAGGTTCGAGTCCAGCTTGGCCTGCCAAACAACAATGATGACTGCAACCAAAATAAAAATAGCCAGGCGTTGTGGCGGGCGCCTGTGGTCCCAGCTACTTGGGAGGCGGAGGCAGGAGACTCGCTTGAGCCCAGGAGTTGGAGGTTGCTGTAAGCTGTGATGCCACAGCACTCTGCCCAGGGTGACAGCTTGAGGCTCTGTCTCAAAAAAAATTAAAAAGAAAATAATAATAACTTTAAGGGCAGCACCTATGGCTCAAAGGAGTAGGATGCAGGCCCCATATACCAGAGGTGGCAGGTTCAAACCCAGCCCCAGCCAAAAACTGCAAAAAATAAAAAATAAAATAAATAACTTTAAATGAGGGATTTTTAAGAGTTGGGGGGGGGGGTATCACTGTATTGTCCAAACTGGCCTCAAATACCTGGGCTAAAGTAATCCTTCTGCCTCAACCTCCTGAGTAGCTGGGACTACAGGCATGTGCTACTATGCCTGGTTATAAATGAGTTTTTAAGTTACAAAAGTAATACATGTTTATTACATACAGATCCTTTCTCAACAAATCTGACTTAAAGCATAAATAAATAATTCAAAGTCAGTAATTCTTCCACTAGGAAAGTTAATATATTTAAAATACTTTACCTTCCTGATTTTTCCAGTTGTAAAGTTCCACACTTCAATGAATCCATCAACAGACCCAGTGACCAGATACTGACCATCTGGAGAAAATCGAGCACACTCCACATGTGATTTCTGACCAAACTGTTTCAAATGAAACAATGAAACAAATGCATTTTTATCTAGTGGCCTTAAAACAATTCCCATTTTAACCTTTGAGAAATCCTGCCCTAGCATAAAATCACAGCTGACCCATGTTATGGAGTATTGGAGGGGCATTGCTGTACTTGGACACAAGGAACCAGTGGATGTATTTTCTCTGACCAGTTTTATGTCTAGGTACTCAGTTTTTTCAATGTGTAATTGGTATTTCCAAAGAAGAGGGAAAGACTATTTTAAGATGGGACTGTGAACAAATAATCCTGTTAGCTCAGATCCTAAGTTTTTGCTAAATCAGCCACTATTAGCATGATTTTCACACTCAACTTAATAAAGCCTCATATGTTCCTGTTGTGCATCTTAAGGGGAAAAGTACTCATTTCTTCAAAGTAAATGTATGTTTTCTTATGCTATCTCATAAACTTCCTATCACTGTTTCATGACCTTCACTTAATCAAGAGATAATGTGTAGCTGACCAAATCGAGGAGAACCAATTGAAGCTGACAGACTGTTTGTCTGCTAAATGCATTCTGAGCATTTATCAGTGATGAGTCTCCCAAGAATGGAGAAAAACTATAGAAACAACAAAGAAAAACCCTAATGTGGATTTCATTTTAAATGTCAAAAAGGGCGAGTGTTTACAACAGAAAATCTTAGTCCAGCAGCATAATTATAATGGATTTCTGTTTGTCTCAAGGCTTTAGGCAGGGGAAATAAAGGTGCTGCCAAAAAAAATAAATAAATAAAAATTTTTTTTTTTCCAGACAGTCTCACTCTGTGGGCCTTAGCCTAGCTTACAGCAACCTCAAATTCCTGGGCTAAAGTGATCCTCCTAGGCCTCCTGGGTAGCTGAGACTACAGCTAGTATACACCACCACACCTGGCTAAGGTTCCTATTTTTAACAAAGACAACATCTCCCTTTCCTCAAGCTGGTTTGAGTGGTAGGATTACAGATATGAGCCACTGTGTCTAGCCTCAGAAAAATCTGTACATGCAAGTTAGAATATATAATTCAGAAAACACAAATTCAAAACACTAAGCCAAAATTGAAGAGTTAAGGAATTTAAAATATTTCAAAGTCCACGAATTCAATCTGAGCACAAACTGAGAGAAACTAATATAAAGGAGATGCTAATTTGGGAGGCCAAGGCAGGTGGATTGCCTGAGCTCACGGGTTCAAGACCAACCTGAGCAAGAGTGAAACCCCATCTCTAAAAACAGCCAGGCCTTGTGGCAGATAACTGTAGTCTCAACTACTTGGGAGGCTGAGGCAAGAGAATCACTTAAGCCCAGGACTTGGAGGTTACTGTGAGCTATGATGCACAGCACTCTACTAAGAGTGACAAAGTAAGAATCTGTATCATGGGCGGCGCCTGTGGCTTAGTGCGTGGGGTGCTGGGTGGTGGGTTCAAACGTGGCCCCAGCCAAACTGCAAAAAAAAGTAGTTGGGCATTGTGGCAGGCGCCTGTAGTCCCAGCTACTCAGGAGTCTGAGGCAAGAGAATCACCTAAAACCCAAGAGCTGGAGATTGCTATGAGCTGTAACGCCACTGCACTCTATCAAGGGTGACAAAGTGATATCTCTAAAAAAAAAAATCTGTCTCAAAAAATAAAATAAAATAAAGGAGATGCTAAAGTAGCAAATACACTTGTAATTCTGGGAACTGTAGCAATTACTCAATTGTGCTTTCTCATAGAAAATTCTCAGATTAAAACAAACAAAAAACAAGCCAGAAAACCCAATCAGCCATAAGACAATAAGATCATTTTCCTGGCCAGGCATGGTGGTTTACCCATGTAATCGTAGCACTCTGGGAGGCCCAGGCAGGTGGATTGCTTGAGCCCACGTGTTTGAGACCAACTTGAGCAAAAGTGAGCCCCCATCTCTACTAAAAATAGGAAAACTAAGGCAAGAGGATCACTTGAGCCCAAGAGTTGGAGGGCAACTGGAGACTGTCTCGAAAAAACAGAAATAGTCATTTTCCCCAAATATTACATAAGCCTATTTTATAATCCATGACTTACACTTTGCCTGACACATATCAGGCTAAAACAAAAATCTTGAACAGAACAAGTACATAGAAAGTCCACATTTAGTCTCAGGCTTAACCAAATAATAGTTAACCACTTTTCCAAATGCAGGCTACTTGGGAGGAAGTGCAAGGCCAGATGTCAAGTGTACATCAATTCGGTTACACAACTGAGATATGCCACTGCTGGGTTACAGCAGTGTTCGAGGGAGCACCGACCGTAATCCTAAAAGTTCTTAGAGCAGGAAAATGAGTCCCCCTCCCCACAGTCTAGCTAAGCCCATGACTGGCTGAGTTTTTAAGGATCATACCTTAATATGTCTGCTCAGCTGTGTAGGAAACTTTTCCTCTTCCACATCTTTGACAGCTGCTTTGCCTCGAAACAAATCTATAGTCATACCAGGAGGAAGCAGCCCCTGGTGCTGCTGCCACTTCAGTGCCTACGAAAAAAAAGTACAGTAACCTGGTCAGATGCTCTTAAAGATCTAGTCATGACTGCTCAAACAAAACGAAGCCCAAAAGGATGAGGTTCTAATTCTTTTTTTTTTTTTTTCTCTCGTAGATTTTGGCCGAGGCTGGGTTTGAACCCGCCACTTCCGGCATATGGGACTGGTGCCCTACTCCTTTGAGCCATAGGTGCCACCAGGATGAGGTTCACAAGAAACTGTGAGGCATCCAGACCTCAACTACCTATATTTTTGGTCATCTAAACACAACATAATCTGTGCTTTTCTGTGCCCAGGAACAGAGAGGCCAGAGCAAAGTCTTATCTCTCCTATACCTATTTTCTTTTCCTTGTGTGTTTTTTTTTTTTTTTT